CACTTATATTATGTTACATGTAGGTATATAAAATGGTATTAACAATTACTTGAAGGATGTGAAAAAATCAGGTACCAGTATAAAATCAACAATACCGTTTAATATTGGTTCTATACATTATCGATAGATGAGTAGTTTTTTATATGAAGATTTGAAAATATTTAGAGTGGAGCATTTTTTAATATCATCTGGTAGAGCATTCCAAAGATTAGGACCTAGGTAGCGAAGGGAAAGTTCAGAGCATTTAGGGATATGAAAATAATGCAACTGTCTTGTGTTATGATGATGGACATTAATGTTGATATCAAACAAGTCTTGAAATATATTTTTGGAAGACTTGGGTGTTTATTAAAGATTTTGTACATGAACTGACCAGTACAGTATCTATTAACATCAAAAATATTTAATATTTTATGATCTTTAAATAGGGGAGCGGGGTGAGAAAGTCTATCCTTATTTAAAGCTAGCCTTAAGAATTGTTTCTGAAGTTTATGTAGACAATCATAAAATGATTTAAATGTGTTTCCCCAGATTACGTTGCAATAATCTAATTGAGAGTGTATCAATGAGTAGTAAACTGTTTTGAAACTGTCTATTGGAAGTAAATGTTTATTGTGATACAGAGAACCAATACCACGAAAAATCTTTGTTTCAACAGATTTTATGTGCTCTTTTTATCAATAATAATTCCAAGGAAGTCAATTTTTCCCGGAAATTTATGTTCTCATTGTGTATTTTAAGATTTAGATTTGTTTGATTTGTTTTGGGTCCAAATATAATAGCATTGGTTTTGCCAATATTAAGTGAAAGTTTGTTTGCTTTTATCCAGTCATCTATTGAATTCAAGTTTGCATTAGTTCTAGTCATAAGTTCATTTAAATTATAATCACTATCAAGAAGATGGGTGTCATCAGCAAACATAATAAATTTCAGATTAGGGGCAACAATAGGCAGATCATTTATGTAAAGAATAAATAATAGTGGTCCAAGTACAGAGCCCTGTGGAACACCACAATTTAGAGATGATTGTCTAGATTCATTATTGTTAATGGTGACATATTGTTTGCGATCTTTTAAATAACTTTCAAACCAGGACTTAGCTATTCCTCTGATGCCATAATATTCAAGTTTATGTATCAAGATGTCGTGATTAATTGTGTCAAAGGCCTTAGAAAAATCTAATGTTATGCTAATGCTTGTTTTTCCCAAATCAGCTGATTTTCAAAATTGTTCAATGAAATATAAAATGGCCATGTAGGTAGAAATGAATTTCTGAAATCCAAATTGATAAGTGAAAATAATTTCAAAACGTTCTAAAAAACAGTGAGTGTGGCGTGCATGAGCTTTTCCAACAATTTAGAAAATACTGATAAAACTGAAATTGGTCTATAGTTAGAAGGATTTGTAGTGACACCTTTTTTAAATATAGGTGTTACTTTGGCCAATTTGAGGGCATCTGGAAAAATACCAGATTTAAAAGATAAGTTAAATTTATACAAGAGTGGATCAATTAAAAACTGTCTTGCAAATTTAATAAGTGGTGGTAGAATCCCATCAGGTCCAGGAGAGGAAGATTTTAGAAGACACATTTCTAGGTCTTTTTGAGATGAATAGATGATTGAACCTTTTTAACTCTTGCTAGGTATTCATTTAAGCATTTTTTGGATTTTGGAATCTCCTTGGCTAGATTTTTACCAATATTGGTAAAAAATTATTAAATCCATTAGAAATAATTTCATGATCTGTTGTTTCCTTTCCATTTATAGTGAATTTAGATGGCAATGCAGCTCTTTTTTCCAAGTAGTTCATTAATGATAGACCAAGATTTTTTAATGTTACCACTTACTTCAGCAAACTTATTTTGATAATGTGTACGTTTTGAGTATTTGATTATGTGCTTAAGTTTATGGTTGAAGGACTTGTAAGCTTTCCTGTTTTGCAACAGGGATTTTTCAAATATTTGGTATACAGCTTATTTTTAGTTTTGGCAGAAGTTAAGATGCCAGAAGTCAACCAGGGTCTATTTGGATCATAATTAACCTTGATAAATTTGGATTTGAGTGGAAATGAAGAATCATATTGTTCCATTAACAAGTTAATGAAGATATTAAATGCTATGTCTACATCTTGACTTTTAACGGTTAATATGAAAACTAACATTATCCACCATCGTCCAAAGGATCACATGCGGTCCCAATTCGTGTTTCGATGTGGTGTCATTGAATATGCATCACAATACAAATATTTAGGACTTACCTCAAATGAGCACATGGATATGTCTAAATCGGTATCCATCCTTGCCAAATCAGCCACGCGTGCCCTAGGAGCAATTATGACAAAATTCCGTCTAAAAGGAGGAATGAACTACAATGTTTATACCCAGCTTTACGACTCTATGGTCGACCCAATTCTGTTGTACGCTGCCGGCACATGGAGTGCAAACGTCACCTCAGGAGCGCATGCAGTCAAGATACAAAACAAAGCAGAACATTTCTACATGGGAGTTGGTAAATGTGCACCGAACGATGCAACACGTGGAGACATGTGCTGGACTGACCCGAATGTGCGACAAAAAGTCGAAAAGGCCAGGCAGTGGTGTCGTTTTATAATTTATTTACGTCTCACGCTAAAAGTAGTAAAAATACATCTATATACTAAAAACAAAACATTAGCCCAGCCGGTATTCGGCTTATGAGAGACTGAAACATTAAATACTGATATCTAAAGTTGTAAAATCTAAAATTAATCAATAAAATATTTTTTGCGATTTAAAAGCATATTGTTTACAACCTTAGCTAATGTTCGTTTGTCATGAGAGTACAGTATTTACCCATACTAGATAGCTGATCAAAGTTAAGTATGTGTAATCTGGCTTTCTCAAATAGGTTAATTCTTAAAGTTTGATGAAGTAAACAGTCCACGAGAAAGTGTATCTCGTCCTCGACGATGCCACGCTCGCATATACATGTTCGTTGGTTAATGGGAACACCAGTGTATCTGCCAGTTTCAAGTCTCAGAGGCAGTGTACCCGTTCTGAGTTTAGCTAGATTTGAGCGTTCATATCTATTTAGGCTAATGCTAAGATAGTGTTTGGGTTCTGTTTTGTGTATCTTGTGGAGTCGATATGTCCTAAGTTTATTTCCTTTTTCTTGGTTCCTAGAATCGTTCCATATGGAGTTGTGCCAAGCTATATGCTGTTTTGAGATTAGGTCCAATTTATTCTTTTTAATTTCATGTTTTACTGATGGGATGTAGTCATCTGTTATGAAGTGGTTTGCCTTTTCACGTTGCAATTCTAGCTTAATCTTAGAGTCCCATGATCGTGGTTGTGTTAAAGACCAGTTGTGGATCCGTTTTGTGATTCTGTCGTTATTCATGTTTAAAACCTAAAAACTTTTATAGCAAGGGGTCCAGTCAACATTTGAGAGTTTTGCAAAAGTAGAGAACATACATTTCATTGATGTATGTAAATATAAAATTGTGCCAAAATGAGGACGAAACAGATTCAGTCAAAAATCTCCATTTTCGGGCACATGTAAATCAAATTCCTCACCCCGGGGACGACAATCTTCGTCAAATCCCTACCCCTGGGAGCAATAAACTTGGTGATATGGTCCTGGATTGTGATATTGGCACTTGGATGGTGAGGGAGGGGGGGGGTATGTACTGTTGATGTTATCTTGGTGAAAGTTAATAACTGAAACAATTCTGCTGTTTTACATTCCAGGAGTTGATTCTCACATAATTCTCAATTCTACAATAATTATATAGTACCCCGGACAGGTTGTATGATGCAGTCGTTTTTTTACTCTATATTTGCAATAGAACAACCATTCTTATTAAAATTTTCACATTTTATTCTAGAGACAATTTCCAACATGGAAAAAAAATATTTTAATGAAATTCCTAATTTTATGATTTTGATAGGCTTTTTTCAAAAATACTCCACTGTCAATAAAATACAGGTTTCGCTTGAACAATTAAACTTTTAACGTCATTTCAAAGATTGTCTAGTTATTGAAGAATTTTTTTTAGTATTAAGAATTTTTGGCAGCCTAAAGTCTTTCCAGATGTATTTGATGCCATATTAATTATGGCTGATTATTGTTATTCATTTTTGTCATATTCAATGGGGCTAATATTATTACAGTGCATTAGGCCAATGAAAAACTTGTCACTCTGGCTCACGTTTCCTCTGAAAACGCACCTTTTTCTCCACTGGGTTTTTCCGCCACCGTCACTCAGCATGCAAGCCCGTGGCACATAAATTGTACCATGCTTTTAAAATGTCAGGTCTCCCTGACAATTTCATGATAAAATTTGACACAGCTATATTAACATCTCTGAAGGATCTAATGCCAAGAATACTTGAAATTGGAGATTCGTAATGTTTTACTTCATTTTGGACAGTATTGAACAGTTCGATCGGGTTGAACTCATGTCCGTGGACAAGAAGATGGACCTCCTCTATCTAGGGAACGCTTCACAAAATGAGACCCAGAGCAACAAGTTTTTATTGGCCTAATGCACTGTAATAATATTGAGTATGACTCAAGTGAATAACAATAATCAGCCATAATTATTAATATGGCAACATATATATCTGGAAAGACTTTAGGTGGCCGAAAATTCAATGGCCAGACAATATTTGAAATGACGTTAAAAGTTCAATTGTTCAAGCAAAAACCTGTATTTTATTGACAGTGTAGTGTTTTTGAAAAAAGCCCATCAAAATCATAAAATTGGGAATTTCGTTAAAATATATTTTTGCCATGTTGGAAATTGTCTCTAGAATAAAATATGAAAATTTTAATAAGAATGGTTGTTTTATTGCAAATATAGAGTAAAAAAATGACTGCATCATACAACCTGTCCGGGGTACTACAATGTTTTTCATGAACTACAATTACATTATTAGCAGCTTTGTCCGCTCAGATTAAAACTAAATTGTTTTGAAACCTGTGGCTCATCTAAAACTTTGTCAGTATTTTCAGAATATGCCATTTATTAACAATATATTTAACTTTCAATACTCACTCATCTAATGAAACTTTATCTTTATGATTCTGTTTTACCAAATTTCTAACATGTTTCAACAGCTTCAAAATTTGTTTTTACTGTAACGCCATTAAATTGGATTCTGTTCACGAAAGTTTTCACATCAAATTACGAAGTTCTCTATTTTATATAAACTAAGTCTATTGAATAAGACTTGTGAAGTTCGACATGCCGTCAGTTATATTATTCAAAAACTATATTATATGTAAAATATTCATGTCAGCATAGTCGATCTGTTCTTCACACGGGTGACTTTGGTTGTTGTTATTGTATTCATAAAAGTCACTTTGAACAGTTCTTAAATTGGTTTCTCATAATAGGGGTCCCAAAGTAAAACAGACGTTGCACAGTAATTCCTCTCAAACTCAGTAGCGAGGGTTAACCATTCACTGGAGCAGTCTCTGAAAAAAGCAATTTCGAGCAAAATGTACCCACCACTATCGGTAGTTTTGTGAGAACTCACTTTTTGTACCGACATTTTAGAGAAACACTATATTGAATCCCTTATATCGATTTGAGATTTAATATAAATCATGTTCAATAACAAAATAGTAAACTTTCATAATACAGAAGCAAAATCTTTAAATCATGAGACATTAGAACATAATTATGAGCAAAAAATAAATTGAAAATGATTGTGAAGAATTGATAGCGAAAAGTGTGATTTATTCGACTTAACTAGCAATGCTTAATAATTTTTCATGAAACGTCCACAGTATAACACAAAATTGGTGTCTTAGCAGAATTTGGCCATCATCATGGAAAACTTGTAATTGTGTATAATAAAAATTGATGATGAGTTTAACAAAATATTTTCTTTGTTGGAATACTTTCAATTTCATCCTGTGAAAACAAGCCCTGTTACGGATCAAACGCATTGGATTTATATGTATATGTGTCTTGGTCATAATGTACCTTTTCACACGCTGAGCTGCAATGTTGTCATGTTCAGCAACTTCAGCGAATGGGACAGATCGGTTCTCATAGATGATCCAAATCAGGACAACTGAAATTCCAAGATGAAGCACTGACGGGGATTGCATCTGAAGAAGAAGCATCCCTCTAACTAATTTACGCCTTGGATTACCACCTTTCAGCCACCATAGATTTTCTAGTTTCATACTACAGCAGTCGCATTTGCTACGACAAGCGTACTGGATATTTTGCATCATTTGAGAGAGAAAATATGCATTTGAATCCCAATATAAATGCCTATATTCATATCTATATAGTAATGTTAAACAATATTTAGTTCTCGTCATCAAATATGTTCGAATATCAAAACCAATACCAATAAGATCTCATCTTTGGATTCATCAATCATCTCGAATCTCAATTTGAATCCCAATATGAATTTAAATATGGTTATTTACATAATGTTCCCAACCCATATTTTTCTTTGGTACTTTGACTTAACATGCGAATATAATCATATCAATAGAATAGAACCACAAGTCAAATCTCAATTCTGATTGCAGATATCGAAGGGGCGGGACACAACACTATCCCTTTGCACCACTTGAAATAACAGAGTACCTCCCTTTATACGTAGTTAATACCCCTCTGGTTGTTTTATGACACCCAATATTCTCTCTCGAATTTGTCAGTTTGAAAATATAATCTCTCATAACCCGATTTGAGCGTCCTGACAATAGTATGAAATTCACCAGATGACGTCCTGTTTGCTGAATTAAGGGAATTCTAACACTATTATAGGAGCTGCTGTTTGTGAGTGACTAGCTTTCTTTCATCACATAGATAAAGTATCAAGGTGCAAAGCGACTTCTTTGTTAGTAAAATGATAAAAATAAGATAAATGTTGTATGTGGATATATATCCATTTTGTAATAGATACGTTATGTCATAATAACCTGGTGGGGACCAGTGATACTGGGTAGAAAAGAAACGATTAGCTTCTAGCTTTCTTCCGAACTCATGGCGTGCCAAAAAAATTCGCAACTTTTATAGAAAGCTAGAAGAGTATCCTAGTTTTCTTAGAAAATGTGATTTTCTCTGATTTTATGTGATCATCAATAGCACATTTATTATTTCAACTATATACTGCTACAATCTTTGTTAAGTGGTGTATTGTGTGGTCATTCATGAGGACTAATGAATCAAGGGGTATTCTCCTCCAGATATTCCAAGGTGACTTTTTTCCTATGGCCGGAAGTCCTATCCTGCTGGAATAAGAAATCACCTGGGGCTGAAATAGCCATAATTCTTGATAGATGTCCCTTTTGAAGAATACTAGTCCTGATGATGAATGGCTACTCAATACACCAGGTGCCAACCTCTGTGACCATCACACAAGGTGGCACATGGAGCAGTGTGTTGCAGTTAATGGCTATACCCCACAAACTGTCGATCAACTAAAAGAAGTTCTACGGGATAAGTGGAGAAAACTACCACAAGAATTGCTGGATCGCAACTCGTTTCCATCTGATTTTGAAGGTGAAGGGCGAATGCATAGAACATTTGTTTAATAAATAATAAATTCAGTATAACATAATACTATTAGTGACTAGATACTGACATAAACCTGTACTTAACATTGGTTAAACAGTTATCAAAGAGTGTAGCAGATTTAGTAAACATAATGAATGTGTTATTGTTGATCACGTAAAATCATGGAAAGTCACATTTTCTAGGAAAAATGGTAAATCTCGGACACATAAACGACAAGGCATTAATATTCAAACATCCGACATAAAAAATTGAAGTCAATTTCAGCTTAAGTATTTGAATGGTAAAATATGCCTATCTTTAAGTTTCTGTAAAAAAAATTGATGTCAATACCATAATGTTATGATACTTTTCTAGTCTTCTAAAGAAGTTGCAAAATTATTTGGCACACGCCGTATTGTGGAAAGTGTACACACTGTTCAACTAGAAAAATACTAATTTTAAAACATTGTAAAAGGATAATACGCTGATTACGTAATTTGGGTATTTGAGGAAAATAATCTTAACACTTAGGATGAGTAATGTGAATCATGCTTAAATATATTTCCTTTTATACTCTATAGCAGTATGTACTTTAATGTAAAAAAAAATTGAAATCGTTTCCTTCCTATTATTTAATTCCGCTAATGACAGGCCTTTTAAGTGCACTCATACATAGGCATACACGTACTCACCACGGTCTTTTTGTGAGTTGTGAACCACTCAGTCAAACACCCTGACGTACTTCTCTGGCCTCGTGGGATTTATGGAGTCTCTGCTATGTTTGTCTTATGGCGATTTTTCAAAAATAACATGTCAGAGAAAAACTTCAATTTAATAGCCAAAATACAATCATTCTTGAATCAATGTATGATTTTTCATATCTTTCAAGTTTTTCACAAATAATTGATTTTGACTATATTTGAAACCTATAATATACAGTTTTCTCTAATCTTAGCAGTCTGACAGTGATGTACATAAATTATTGTGAGATATCTAGAAATACGCTTACTTTGCTATTCGGATGTCGGGCCACTGAAATCGAATTGCAGCAACGATCCCTTGTTCGTTATTGTTTCTCTCGTCACAATGGCAACTGCTTTTTATTATGCAACACAATACATTTACTCCTTCTATATTAGTCCATGGTATGACTTCTGAATATGAAAGATCCGTAGAACACTATAGCACTGCAACATCTGAAGCAATATTTATCAAGGTGTACATGTCTTGATTCTTTTAAAATACCATTTGCTGAAAAAGCTTTCGGGTCGAAAAATGTCTTTCATCACAAGGGGTCAAAAAACGTAAATATTTTGATTCGAACGTTTATACATTTTATAAGACACAGACCGTTATTCTAAGCATGCGAACAAAAAAAGATTATCATAATTTAAAAATATTCTATTTAATTTTACCGTAGATGTCGGTGTTTAATTAATGTAATTATGCAAGTGTGTTTTTCAGATCTTGTTTGATTTTTCAAATATGAGCCTAGCCGATTCAACAAAATTATGTGGACTATTTAGGTAATTTATGATTGGGAACATATTAGTTTTCTTACCATTTAAAACATTTTATTACCAGAATTTTCCATATAATCGCAAGAGGTCTAACAACAAATTATTGTTCATGTTTTATATGTAACATGGCCATTTTCATACTTTCATATTTCTCACTTTTCATATTGATCAATCCTATATATTTCACTTATTCTCATTTTAACAGGTCCCTAGCTTACTATTGTATCAGTGCCAAATGTTTTAATCCTGTTGTTTGCCAATACCTGCTATCTTTTGTTTCAAACCTGTTTTTATTGCTGTTCATGCTGTGTTCATTTTGTTTTGTGTTATATTCCTTATATGGAAAACATACTCACTCACTTGAGTTTGGGTGTTGGCCCAGCCTCAGTAGTTGCTTTGAGATTGTACAGAGAATACTGTGTTTGTTTATTTGAAATAGACTTTTTATACATTTTAACTTTGGCATTTTGTTATCTTTATTATCGCCACCCACGGCCTTAGCCCCGGACATTACATATAAAACATAATACAATAACAAATAGGTAATATTTATATCTCATTAAATGTTACAGAGGTATTGGAATGTTCATATATTCCAAATTCATGTCTAATAATCAATTAGAGTCATATGCAATCGAACGCCTCGAAATTCTTCTTCGACGTTACTTGTGGCTATCATCAAGTTTTCCGACGGCTGTTTGTTCTTTGACTTTTCCGCTGGATACAATCAAATTTTAGGAAGATAGTGACAACGATTTTTCTCATTTATTCATGAATTCGATCAAGTCTTGATGGTTGTTTTATAAGCAACTGTGCTATACCTAACTACGGGAAATGGAATTTTAGCTGTTGTCCCAATTAGTCAAGGTAGAGCAATATGCCCTCCTTTTCACCGCTGAATAAAAGTCCATATCTCAAAACGTATTGAGACCCCTTTTGTGAAAAACTAGCATAATTTAAACATTTGTCATTCCAATATAAAATTCATTCATTTGAAGCATATATCTTATCAATACCTGAGAAACAATACAAAACGTCGATACACTGATTACATATTTTTGGGTATTGATAAGAAAAATAACCTAAAAAATATAGCTTAGAAACCTAAATCATATATTTAAAATCATTTTGTATTATTTTCTGATGCATTGTGTACTCCAAATTGTGAAAAATTGGGATTTTATTTTTTGATGATTTTTTGACCTCTGTTAATGGCAGGCATAATTCAGCCTAAAAGCCGGAAGTATATTGAACGGTTATAATAAAAATTGTTAGGGGACATATGTAGGTATGTTAATGTAAGGTCAAATATCGCTGCGCTATAGTGTGCTACCAGCTCCTTTATTAGACGTCCTAGAGATTTCATAACATGGACTATACGTATGTTTATCACTTGAACAATGTTTTCCAATATGATGGTCGATTTTTCAACATAAGTGCCACGTTTTTTCGATGTATTACAAATATGGTTACGTGTGTTTCAGAATCAACAAGAAACTGTAACAACTGTGATCTTTATACAACTCTTTCCCTTATTTTCTTCTGACTAACAAAACAATTGTAGACCTCTCCATTCGGTCAACCGTCAAAATCATATACCTCGACTGTAAACCTTGAAACTACTGTTGACCTCGACCTTCGGTCTCTGTCAACAGTAGTTTCTCGGTTTACAGTCTCGGTATACAATTTTGCCGGTTAACTTCTGGAGAGGTCAACAATTGTATATTTTACCGCTTCACACTGAATTAATGCTTACAGTTCATTATGCACTAAGAAACTTACCGACATTAAGATAATTCATACCAATAAATTGCATTCTTTTTGTGCAGGTACAGCAACAAGCTAAAGTATCGATTTATCTATTAAAGTATCATTTTATTTTGCATGGTAAGTGGCATCAGTTGGAGCTCTATCATATAGAATACATGCGTATGCCCACGTTGTTTTCCCGAAGTATGATGTTAAATTATTTTGTTCATATTTTCGGAAATAAAATGGGAAATGTAGTATTCTTCCATTTGGTGGTATGTAAGTGAGAACGTAAAAAAAAAAGTCGGAACCCTGGAGCTTTTTCATTCTTCTCTCGTCAGGGAGGTATTTGGTGTCTATGGGAAGTACAACGTATTGTGCCGAGTGTGTGGTATACAGTGTTGTATATTTGATTGATTTAAGTGATTGTTCCCTTGTGTTAGCACAACCAATAATTGCTG